GTGTGTGTGTGTGTGTGTGTGTGTGTATGTGTGTATATATATATATATATATATACACAGGTTATTAGGTTGACATATTTTAGCAAGTGCATAAAAGTTATCATGAAGGTAAAAATATTGATCAAATTTTAAACTTAAATCATTTTTGAATCACGGTATGTTCTGTTATATCACCAACGTTTTTAATAAAAAATATACCTCTTTAATCACCAGAGACTCTAAGTTAAGAAATCGACAAATAATTTTCCAGTTGTGTTGTTTATACATTTCATTTTATACTTTCAGTACATAACTAACAACAATATTAAGTTATACTTTTATGCTAACGAAAGTACTCGGCTTCACTCGTGTTATTAGGTTGATAGTGTGTATTCTGAACCCACTTTAGCTTAAAAGTATAACCTATATACTTTTGTTGCTAAGCAACATGAAATAAATGCCATTGTTGGAATGCATTGTTAGCATAATGCACTTGCTTTTCTATATATTAGAAGTTGTTATATATAAAGAACCACTTCTTTTCTATGTGGTTTTTTGCTAGCTTGCCTCATTGAAAAGATGCACACTCATATACATGGAAAAGTAATAATACTCAGTTGCACACCCTCAGGGTCCACTTAGTATGGGTGCAAAATTTCAGGTTTCTAGGTTCTTTCCTTTTGGAGCTATGGTGGTCACAGACACGCACATGCACACAAGTGCATGTCTGTCTGTGATTTCTATCTGTATTATAAGGAGCTATGACAGTTACATTTCTTTTCTATTTGTTTTTTGCTAACTTGTCTCATAAAAAGATGTGCGTGTGCACATGCATGTAGATAAGTAATAATACCCAGGTGCATACCCTCAGGGTCCATATAGTATGGGTGCAAAATTTCAGGTTTCTAGTTTCTTTCCTCTTGGAGCTATGGTGGTCACATATTCTTTTCTACGTAAACTCTGTGATTGCTGTTTTGCTCAAATTATTTTACAATTTTTGAAAACATTCTTTAACATGTTAAAGGTTATTTATGAATAAAGTTAATATTAATCGACATCCCTCCTATCGATCTTTTTACCGAATCAATATGAGAATTATTTTGCATTGTTAACTTAGTACACCATTTCCCAAACTATGTTCCATGGATAGGTGCTTCGTGAAAAAATCATGATTTTAAATTTTAATAAAATATTTAATACTCTGTACGATAATAACTTATTTTCCTATACATTAGAATTAGATAATATTGATTTTGCATTGAAGAAGAATTATAGAAGATGTCATATCTATTCTACATAATATCTTTGTGGAGAGGTTTGTACCTAAAATATATTATAAACATAAAAATTCATTAATATGTAATTTGATTAAATAAATAAATGAATAATATACAAATTTAGAGAGTGCTGTGCATGCAATACCCTCTACACTGATATTTTATGTGTCTAGTATTCAGTAAGCTTTTTCTCATGTGAAAAGTTTTCAGTGCCAAAAATGTTTTGGAAATGCTGACTTAGTACTAAATTAAATCACCCAAGATGGCTGAACATTGAGATATTATAAGGATTACAGCCAAAAATGTTCATTATACGAGAGCACCCATTAATGAATCAGTACATTCTAATCATTGTAAGTGAAAATGGTATATTAAGTTATCTATATTAATTACTGTGTTAATTCTGATCTGTATAGGTAGCTTGCTTTGAGTAGAAGTTAATGATGATTGATGCTATACAAATTTTGGAATGTTTGTTAATTCCAGCTGAATTTCGTATCTTGACCACAACTACGTCTGCCATATCCCAGCCGACCTGGTGAGCTCTTGCATGTGTCAAAATGCTGGATATTGATGATATAGTGTGTTTGGCATATTAATACATACTTCTTCACTTTCAATCATAAATTCTTATATAACACAATTACTTGTATAAAAATAAGTATTAATAATAATTTTTAAAAAAGTTACAGAAGGTGTATTCTAGTGTGACTCTTACTGCATTCAATAGCTATTATAGTTGCAAGAAATATTGATCCTAAATATTTGATTTCAAAAATTAATATTTATATTTCTTTATGTAGATACACCTATGATGTTAGAAAATGTATGTTCAGTGCTGGAAATATTTCAGAAAAGCTTAGAGTGGCCAAATTTCACTGTAGTGGAGAAACAGTGGTAGATTTGTATGCTGGTAAGTCCACGAGATGATTAGTTTTTTTTTGCCAAAATGAACTTGTTCTTATGTACATGTTCTGATTAAGAATTTTTCAGATATTGGATGAAAAGAAAAAAATGGTTGAAAGATTGTTATTGTATATTATGGTAACTGGAAAATTAGACATCTAACAAATGAGTAAGTAGGACATTTAGACACCTAAAAATTTTAGAGGGGTGTTAAAACTTTTAAAACCCTCACAACATATTTAAAATACATATAATGGAGAAAATTAAACAGGTAATGTAGTAGGCCTAGATCTATACAGTTCATATAATGGAGTAAAGGACAGGTTTGAATTCAGGTGGTCAGTTTTCTAATTATTTGCATTCATGATAGCATGAAAAATAAATCATTTCCTCATTAATGACCAGATAAATGGGATCTCCACTGAGTCCAATGATAGCCAATAGTTTTATATGGTATTAAGTAATGAACTAAAGTAAACTGGTAATGTATTAGGCCTAGATATATATACAGGTCTTTTATAAGACAATAGTTTTATATGCTATCATGTAATGAAGTAAAGTAAACTGGTAATGTATTAGGCCTAGATATATATAAACAGGTCTTTTATAAGCCAATAGTTTTATATGCTATCATGTAATGAAGTAAAGTAAACTGGTAATGTATTAGGCCTAGATATACATACAGGTCTTTTATAAGACAACAGTTTTATATGCTATCATGTAATGAAGTAAAGTAAACTGGTAATGTATTAGGCCTATATATATATACAGGTCTTTTATAAGACAACAGTTTTATATGCTATCATGTAATGAAGTAAACTGGTAATGTATTAGGCCTAGATATATATAAACAGGTCTTTTATAAGACAACAGTTTTATATGCTACCATGTAATGAAGTAAAGTAAACTGGTAATGTATTAGGCCTAGATATATATATACAGGTATTTTATAAGCCAATAGTTTTATATGCTATCATGTAATGAAGTAAAGTAAACTGGTAATGTGTTAGGCCTAGATATATATACAGGTATTTTATAAGCCAGTAGTTTTATATGCTATCATGTAATGAAGTAATATAACTTGTAATGTGTTAGGCCCAGATATATACATGCTTAAGTTTGGTGTTGTACATGGAACATGTCTTTGTCATTTTTTTTAGATGTCTAGTTGTCCTGGATTTGTATATTCTTAATAATTAGAAAATTGTAAGATAAAAAAGTAGATAATTCATAGCTAAATAGGCTCATGAATATAGTTGTTTTAAAATGTAGAGCTTTCAATTTTACAAACAAGGTCTGTCTTCTGAATGCACCTAGGTTATTGAATTTCTTGAAATGTAATATACAACTTAAACATCATGTCGTTTTCTTTCAAAATATTTAAAGTGAGACAGCAGGAATTCAGGTACCAACATATAATTATGAATTAACATGAAAATATATTAGTTACACAGTGTTTTCATTAGTTGTTGGGTGAATCATGCTCACATCTGCTAATCACAGCCCATCAACCCGGCTACTTTAATTTTGTGTATGTTCTGGAGGACCTCAGTCACCATCATCACTTTAACTGCAATCTAGTTAAGTCTCGCTTTGTCTTAAGTGTGTTCGAACTAATTTTATGGCCACTTTGAATTTTATCGTGCAACAGAGGAAAGTACAACGTACATTCACATATTCCCGTTGTATGCATTTATTATACATTCTCTGCTCAGCTATGTTTACTTACTGTTACCAACTGAGTAAAGAAATCATTACACACCAAGTATTTCTTCGTCTAGAGCAATGGAGGGAGCAGTAAGGGTATACAGACAAAAGGTGAAAAAAAAAAAAAAAAGTTACACACCAAGTGCAAAAAAAACAAAACTAAAATATATAATGTAAACTCAAACATATATTACGTTTTCACATTGTTGTTTGAAAAAGAGAGACCAGAAAATGTTTTTTCTGATAACCTCACATGGACAGAGTTATAGGCCTACTTTAGTAGTACCAACCACTTATTGTTTAAGACTATGTAAGTGCTAAGAATGTTAAACACGTACAAGTGAAGTGATTTCCAACCTTTCTAAAGCAAACTCTTTGTGAAAAAACTGATGGGATACAGTTGTTTCCTGATTTACCTTTTTCTGAAAGTGAAAGTTATGACATTTATTTTACAGTGGAATAAGGAGAAGAGACTTTCATTGATTCCTAGACCAGCAATTAGCAACCGCTGTACTAGTTGATATAAAAATCTTTTTAAGCTGACCCTCCTTTCCCTCTGTACATCTCGATTTGTTCTTCTCTTGACTAGGTATCGGCTACTTCACCCTCCCTTATTTAATCCATGCTAACGCCAAATGTGTTCATGCCTGTGAATGGAACAATGAAGCTGTGGAAGCACTCCGTAAAAACTTGGTTTTAAACAAAGTAACAGATAAATGTGTGATTCACATTGGGGACAATAGAGAGGTAAGAATGTTAAAAAACAAAATTTCTAATCTTGTAAGGACAGCATAATTGTAGCTTTCTTTGCAAATAGTGTTAAGTTTATTTTAAAACAATAGCCAGTCTAAATTGAGAAAATCTTGCTTACTGGGTCTAAACACGTTAGTTTAAGTATATAGTAGCTTTTCCAACCTATTAAACTTGACTTTACACAAACATAATTTCTTGAGATTGACTGCATTCAATGAGCACTAAAGTTAATGTTTTATTAAGAAGTATGTTATTTTTAAAATACATCTTTTATTTGAATGTATTATTCATAAAATTCCCATTAGGAAGAATTGAGTTTTATGTTTCGAAGGGCAGATTCCATGCTTTTGACAAGGACAGAACTAATGAAATAAAATTACATTCACTCAAGGGAAAGTTATCGGGGAGATTACATTCACTCAAGGGAAAGTTATCGGGGAGATTACATTCACTCAAGGGAAAGTTATCGGGGAGATTACATTCACTCAAGGGAAGGTTATCGGGAAGATCACATTCACTCGAGGGAAGGTTATCGGGAAGATCACATTCACTCGAGGGAAGGTTATCGGGAAGATTACATTCACTCGAGGGAAGGTTATCGGGAAGATTACATTCACTCATGAATTGTTTTTTTTTTATATCTTAATCCATGCAATATGTTCACTTTCATTGGTCATAACTAAAGGAATACGGATGGATCGTGCATTCCCGATTGGGGAAGGCAACTAAAGAGATTAAATTCCTTAGGAATGTAATATTTTGATCCCTGAATGAATTTTGTTATATAAAAAAAATCATGGAATGAGAATTTTAGAGGATTAGGATTTAATGAGGGAAAGTAATTAATTATATTCAGTAGGATAACGTCAACTGGTCAGGTGTCCTGTCACCATCAGATTAAAGAACCCATATTCAAAATCTTAACTTCCATTTTTAGGTTTGAAGTGTCAGAACATCACTCCATAAAGCTTATGCAGCACTATACCCTGGCCTCATTCAAGTTCAAATAAAAATAAAAGAAACCCACTAAGATCTTTACATAAATTTAATCAAAGAGTAGTGTCTCTATCAAACTTAGTAATAATCATTAATAGAATGTGTGTGAATGTGGTGGTGCTCTTAATTTGAATTGAAAGTTTTAAGAAAGAATATTTTCTTTGCAACTAGTGATTCGTATCAAATGATATTTTATAAACTGTTACTAACAGAGTCACTGTTCACCTGATAAAGCTCGGTTTATTCTGCCGTGTGCCTACAGGTATGTCCAAGAGGAGTAGCCGATAGGGTCAACTTGGGACTACTTCCATCTTCAGAACCGGGGTGGAAAACTGCTTGTCTCGCACTCAAGCGGGAAACAGGAGGCATTTTACATGTTCATGCTAACGTCAACTCAAAACAAACTTCTGTAAATGGTTCCAGTGTAGTGCCGGGACAGAATGATCTCGGAGATGACAGTTTCGTAACTGAACCTGTCGAAGTCTTCAGTCATTCTATTGGTGATTCAAGGAAGGAAAACGGCAGCGATGATACACCTAATAAACCTTTATTGATGACATCAAGACAGTTCAATCATTCTACATGGTACCAGTGGGCTTCACGAGTTTCTGAACATTTTAAAGACCTTTTTCTTAAACTTTACAGTGAAGAGTGGACAATCTGTGTACTTCACGTTGAACACGTTAAATCGTATGCTCCCTACATTGATCACCTCGTTGTAGACCTCAAATGTAAACCTTCCCCACACCAGAGTACGTGAACTTAAAATCCTTCTTAAACTTTACGGTGAAGAGTGGACAATCTGTGTACTTCACGTTGAACACGTTAAATCGTATGCTTCCTACATTGATCACCTCGTTGTAGACCTCAAATGTAAACCTACCCCACACTAGAGTACGTGAACTTAAAATTCCATCCAAATTTTTCAGCTAAGCCTTGCCCTCACAGAAGCAGTCGTAAAGATAAAACTATCAAGCTTCTTATAATTATAGTACTGTTTATCTATTAACATTGTTTTGTAAGTCATTTAAATATCTAACAATGATTGAGAATTACATTAGTGTACGTGTAATCTACACCAGGTGGAGTTATAACAAAAAAAATTGCATAGATAAACTTTTAATAATCATTTACATCAAAATAACATATCCAAAGATAAAGCTTGTGGATTCTTCATATTGTCATTATGCGTAAGATTGAAAAAAAAATTAACCGTCATAAATGATAAGAGCAAGTGATTGCATTACCTGTATCAATATTAATGTAAATATACTTCAAAGTGAAAGTTTAAAAACAAGCAAAAATGCAACTCTTAATCTGATATTAAAAAAACATCATTTGATGAATGGCATTTCTTCTTAGTTCCAGAGTTACTTTGATGATTTCTCATGTATAGCTTATCTCGACCAGTTTTGGAAAGCACGTGGACCCAGTGACTGTACCTCACCTCTGCCATTCTTAGAAATGAGAGTTCCGTCTTTTTTCACAATCACCAGAGCCGGAATTCCGGTGATGTTATACTTTGCCTTCACGTTACTGAAAAAAAAAAGGGGGGGGGTTAATCAAAGAAAAATTTGAATATTTTTACACGTTTACAACCATTTCAGGAATAAGCCTTTCAAATCTTTTTTTCATTTTTATGTTGACTATAAAATTACAAATTCTAAGGTAAACTAATATTTTTTAACTGCCACAAAATTTGATATTGTAGTCATGATATTACCATGACTATCTAATACAGATGCATATATTGTAGTCATGATATTACCATGACTATCTAATACAGATGCATATATTGTAGTCATGATATTACCATGACTATCAAATACAGATGCATGGAAATAATGATTTTATCATGGGGGGGGGGGGGACAATTCAGATTTCATTACCAGCATCATGAGAATTTGCATGGTAAACATCTGTTACCACACACAAACTAATGAGACTCATTCATAGAATTTCTTGGATGGTTATAAAAATTCACATTTATTATGCTTAATAGAGCTGGTTGGTTAGTGGAATTTGGTAATTAATTAAATCTTAAGCTCTTTAATAGATCACATACAAGTAAAGATTGATTACTGTAATACCTTAGCTCTAATATTAAGTATATTTTGGTTTGTGCTTTTTAGAAAAAGGAACTTAAAAAAAAATTCTTGCAGTGGTCCACTGAGAGGCATAACTGACAAAATATCAGAAATGGTGAAGCCATTTTTTTAATATTCAATAACAATTCAATTAAGAAAAAGAAAAAGTTACAGCTTTTCCAAATAGATGTTATACTTAAATAAGCAAAACACAAAATCAAGTTTCTTAGTTTAACTTGTAATGAACAAAAACTGTTCAGTATAACATGGAGTGATGAATCATACAAGTCTATGTGTAACTTACTCATACGAGTGTAACTCAAGAATATTCACTCACTAATGGAACTACGTACACATTTTTTAACTACCCCCTGCTACGGGCACATAAACAAAACATTATATAACCTTTGTTTTAGTCTTCAAAAGAGCAATGCTAAGTAACTGTTCTGATAAATGTGTAAGCAAGAATACTAATAAATTAATTAAAGAAATCAAGTGTTTACATCAACAAATGGTGAGACCAACACTTTGTATACATTTAAGTTTCTTTCTGTAAACCAGATGGCAGTTTACATGCATGTTGATGGAGCTATGTAAAAACTTTCAAAGTGAACCTGATTAACAATGACACAAGTACCATCAACTTCTTTGTACATTATCCCACCATTTACGTACCTTGATGCTCCAGACTGAAATGGAATGGCCAGCCAGTCTCCGTGGCTTTCCATCATGTACTGAAACATGTCATCTGCAGACCGATCAGATGAAACAAAGATGATCTCAAAGGGAGCACCCTCATCCACTAGTTCACTGTACATGTCGGCTAGAACAGGGGTGAACCCTCGACACGGAGGACACCAGTGGGCACTGAAGTAAAAGCCAATAATATCTTTGTTTTTCAGGGCCTCATCGGCACTTACTTCACATCCATTCTTCTTAACTAGTGTTCCTCCTTGTAGAAATTCCATTATTCTAGAAGAAAAATATATTAGAAGATTTACTTTTAAGTAACGTACCAAACATAAAGATCAAACAATTGTAAGGTTTATCTTCAAGTTTAGCAGAGGACTATTAAGTTTAAATAGTTTTTTTCGTGTGTGTAAAATCTCCAACATTTTACCCACCTGCTGTTTTACACTGCTGGAACCAATATATCACGTGTAAAACTTATTTCAAATGGGCAGAACTCTTAGTTTAACCTTCAACCTACTTTGTGCTATGGTATAGAAACACTATTGTTTTTCTCTTACATTCTCAACTTTAACTTATTCTAGTTTTTTCAAAGAGTTGACTTTTGGTTTCCCCCCCCAAACAAGAATAGTGAACTATTTAAAAGTACTCAAGTTTTGGGCTTTTATAACTACATTTATTTCATCTTTAGTGTGTGCCAACTCTTCTCAAAATGAGATAATATTTGTAACTCATCCCAACATAAATACAGTTACATCAACTATTCCTCAATGATATAAAAATACTACGTAAACACCATCCTAGCAAGACTTAATACTTACGTGACAGATGCCTATAGGGTAATCAACTGAAAAGTTTACTAGCGTAACTCTGGTGCATTTGCAAAGTTAACTGCATGACTGGTGAAACATAACCATGACAAAACAATTTACTCTACCCCACAAACAAGAGTGCAACTGTATCTCATAACACAACTTTTGATAACTCTAAGAATGCACAATTGAATGTGAAGATTGAACATGTTAAATATAGATGAAAACGGATCTAAGTAGGTGTTTGTGCACAAGTATCAAAGTTCCAAACATACTTCAGTTGACACAATGCAAAATCAAACAGGAAATTCCATGATAAAAATAGCAACAATTCAAAGAAACTTAAGTAAAATTAGATAGGCTATCTTATTCACATATCATGTAAACATTGATACTGATATAAAAGACAAGACATTCAGTTTTTGTAGTTTCCAGATCTGTACACATTTCTCACATTGAATACGAGAAGTTTCGGAAGTATTAACTTCGATGGAACAATTAAACATATCTAAATTCAGATACCAAAGAAAGTAAAGTCGCACATTAAAAATGTGACTAATCTGAGCACATTTCAATTTTGTTGTCATGGTTACAATAATACACTGTCAACAAAACTCAAGATGGAAAGTATGAATTACAATGAACAGCCTGTATCAAACAGGCATTATAATATTTAAAGTCTGAATGAATGAAAGAAATACAGTACATGAAGCTGTTCACAGCTACACACCCCTGCAGACTTTTTGCTGTTTAATCCTTGCATTTCATGGATTCCAGCTTAAAAGGTACATCAAGAAAAAATGTTTTCATTTAAGAGAATGTAAAATTCTACCAACAGTACACTTTATAAGACTGTGTTTTTAGTGGTAATAATAATAAAAAAATGTGTCATTCAAAAAAATTTTTGAAAGGTTATATGTTCACATTATTATGAAACATTCCCAGAATAAGCAGAGTAAACAAAATAAAAAAACATGCGACTATATGGGAATCACCTAATAAAAAGTGAATTAAGAGCTTAACTTAATTTTCCCATGTCTCTCAACAATTGTCTTTATTATAACATGACAATGTTTTGGGACCTATTGGTCCATCTTGGCTGCTCCATCATCTAAACTAAAATTTTAAAACCAGCCCTTATCATTCATATACTCAAACTTTCTCTTAAACTCACTTAAATTTACTGCATCTACAACCCATTCCAAAGTCCAACCATGCTGTTAGAAAAATGAAACTGTCTTAAGTGAAGATGTCTCATACCTTGCCAAAATTTATATTTGTGTCCCCTAGTCCTACTATTCTCATT